AATAAATTAAAAGTTAGACAGTGATTCAATTACCTTTACCAGGACCCATGTCTTCAAGGTCATACTACCTCTTAATTTCACCACTTTGGTTGAATGGCACTATGGTTTGAATTTTGTCAGTCCCCCAAGGATTCATGTATTGAAGACTTGTACACCAAAGTGGTGAAGAGGTAGTATGACCTTGAAGACATGGGTCCTGGTAAAGGTAATTGGATCACTGAGGGATCTACCCTCAGAAGGCATTAATGCAGTTATCATGGGATTCCATTTGGTTCTTTAATAGTGGATTACAAAAAGAGCAAGAAAGGCCTCTCCCCTGTCTCTAGCCCTGTGTCCCACCATGTGATCTCTCCCTCTGCCACTCACTCCTGCCATTGTGGTGCTATCCAGCATGTGGCCCTCACCAGAGGCCAATAGAGCCATTTTATCTTGAACTTTCAGCCTCCAAAACTGTGAGTTAAATGAATCTTTTTTTTCTTTATAAGCTCCCATCTTCCAGTATTTTATTATGGCAATAGAAAACACTAATACAAAAGCCTGTATGTTGTCCCCATCTTGATATGAATTGTCAAGACATCTTGAATTCCTCCACTGCTGTGAGCATCTACCACATTTTGTCATAGTTCCTTTTTCTGCTGCCCATCTCCATCAACATACTGTGAGTTCCACAAGGATTGAAACTAGGCATTCCTTATTCATTTATATATGCCAGAGCCTACTCCATACCTGGAATACTAGTGTGAGGAAAGACAGCTGGGGGTTCAGTTCATAGGATGAGAAAAATAAGCAGTTAGGAATAATGCAGCCACATCAATTTCCTCTGCATATGTCATGGTCAAAACTGGGTGAAGAGACATTGCTAAAGACTTGAAATTTAATCATAGAAGCTCCTTTATGGATATGCAAAACAGACCCAGATCTGGAAGCAGTGATTTCATGATTTTTTTTTTTTTTTTGGTGGTGCTGGGGATTGAACCCAAGGCTTGTGCATGCTAGGCAACCAACTGAGCTATATCCCTAGCCCCATGAAAGACTTTTTTTATTAAAAAAAAAAAAAGAGGTAAGTCCTCTATTTTTCTGTTTGACACTGTTCTTCCTGGTTGCAATTCCCTGATTGCTTATTTGTAGAGAAAGCACCTAAATACTGGGGATCTTCCCCAGAGATTCTGAATAAATAGTCACCATTCATTTCCCTTGAATTTCTCAAGCCCTACAGTAAAATCAGCCAATAATATGAAATTACTTGTAATGTCCACTGGAGGGTGATATGCTACTGCTGATAATCACCTTCTACAATGTGACCTGTGAAGACTAACTTTAATTACACTTAACAATCCATAGTTACAAGTTCTCATAGCACTGAACACATAACAAAATAAGCCCCTTCAATGCATATAAGGCTATCGCAGAAAAGATGCAAATGACACCAATCCAGTCTCCACTTCCCATTTCTTTGTCCATGCCCCTATGTAGACAAACCCCAGGCATCCTAGAATATTTCTCTTCCATTCTGACCTGTGATGAACACAAGGCACAGAGTTAATGGTTTCTTTTAGAGCATGAATTGTCTCTTTAGGTTCCTGTGTATTTCATCCTGGATAGATGACAAGATTAGGAGATGAATATTATTATCATAACAATTTTGGAAATGGGGACACTGATACTAAATCCCAGAGAAGTTTAAGAACTGGTCTAAAAAGACAGGACTTGTATGGTATAGTATGCCTGTAGCTACTTGGGAGGTTGAGACAGGAAGATCACTTGAGTCCAGGACTTAGAAGTCAGCCTAGGAAGCATAGTGAGACCCTGTCTCAAAAAGAAAAAAAAAATCAGGGCCTCTTCTCCATGTTCCCATAACACCCTCTTCTTTCTCTAATCATACTGTACTATGACATACATACGAGGTGTCAATTGTCTTTCTCACCCACTAGATGAAAATGACAAGGGCCTGTGGACTGCATTTTGTTCTCTGATCTATCTATCCAACATGAAAAAGAGTGTGAGGCACTGGAAGGCCTAAAATGGAATAAGGCTAAAGAGAGAAGAGGGTATGAAGATGGAGTAGGATGAAGTTCTATCTAGGGTAATTACTCTGTTACCAGCTTGGATAAATGAGGACATGTCTGGGAATACAGAAGAAACAGTGAATATTGTCTAAGGAATGCATTAAGAGAAAGCATGGGGCATCCTGTGGCCTGTGGCCTGATACTCCTTCACCCCTTTCATTGCATTGCTCTGGTTCTTGTTTTAAGTGTCCAAGACAGTACCTGGTAGGATGTACATGAAAGTGCCTAAATTTGGGGTGGGGTTGTGGCTCAGTGATAGAGTGCTTGCCTAGCACATAGAGTGCTTGCCTAGCACATGTAAGGCATTGGGTTCAATCATCAGTGCCACATAAAAATAAATAAATAAAATAAAGGTATAAAAATACAATAATGTTTTAAAAATAAAGTGTCTAAATGCTACACGTGAGTAACATCATGATCATTGGTTCCATTTATCAGTGCTTTAATCTAATAAGAGCAATGATAATAGAAAATTCTTATTGAATGCTTATTAGGTGTCAATCACTGTCCCAGATGATTATATACATGAGTTCATTTCATCCTCACAATGAAGATGAGGGTGAGTTCTTTTAGATTTTTTTTTTTTTTTTACAAATCTGGATAGCAGTAAGTGGCCTAAAGAGCAAGCCCTTGCTTTTTCTTTGAATTAAGATATGCCTAAACAATGGCACATATATTAACCACTGTTAGAAGCCATAAAAACTAATGGTACACAAACATTTCATACACAAATTTAAAGTGCAATATATATTTTGTGCAAAAGAAAAAAAGACAACCAATATACAAGCAATGTTGAGGACTAATTTAGAGAGAGGAAAAACACTGGCATCGTGCAACCTAGGGCAAAGCCCCCAAAGAATCCCTTCAATACCTCTTCCTTTCCCTAGAGTTCCTCACTGGGTCTCAAGTGCTCACTGCTTTTCTCTCTCCAATGCTTCATCTTTAAGACACTGGGAGGTCTCCCAACGGCTTGTCCAGGCATGGGTTCTGGACCCTTCTCCCCAGGACAACAGTCCCCTACGTGTATCCACATACATGGAAACCACGCTAGGAGCCATAAATTGTATGCCAAGTTAGAAATGCTGTCTGAAACTCTTGAACAGTGTTGTTGGGTTTTGTTTGTATCTTTGGTACTGGAGATTGAACTCAGGGGTATTCAACCACTGAGCCATATCCTCAGCCCTATTTTGTATTTTATTTAGAGATAGGTCTCACGGAATTGTTTAGTGCCTCACTTTTGCTGAGGCTGGCTTTGACCTCACAATCCTCCCACTTCAGCCTCCTAAGCCACTGGGATTACAGGTGTGCACCACTGCACCTGGCTTGTTTTTTTTTTAAAAAAAAATATTTTTGTTATTTGTTGATGGACCTTTATTTTGTTTATTTATATGTGGTGTGGAGGATTAAACCCAGTGCCTCACACATGCTAGGCAAGTGCTCTACCACTGAGCCACATCCCCAGCCCAAATGGAATGTTATAGAGGTGCTACCTCTAAGAGCAACCAGCTATTTTTTCACCACCAACATGATTGAATCCCCTGGGGCATATATTCACATTTATGTTCTCCCTCTCTTTCTTTTCCACCTCAACTCAACCTCTAATAAAAGTCTGGGACAAGCTATTCTGAAGAACAAAGGCAGAATCTTGGGGAATGAAGGGAGATATTAAGAGAAACCATAGTCTATTGCCTCCCTAGAGTAAATGAATGGAGCAAGAGAATGAGAGGTAGGGATTTCGGTTATATCTCATATACATAGAAACAGATATCTACTTCATTGATCTGCTTTTACCTTGTTGAACTGGTAAACCAAGTTAAACAATTCAATGAATATTACATGTACCTCCAATGAAATATATGTACAGAGGAGAGACGAGGTAAGAAAAAGACACAGGAGAGTATTCAATTCCTTTTACTCAAGAAGTAGAACATTGAATACATTTATTTTAATATGCTCCTTTGAAATATTATAATGAAAACCTGGAAAAAGGCAAAACATTCATCAGAGGAAGTAAGTTATGGAAGATACATTTGTTTTAGTTCTAGGAAACCATTAATTAAATGACAATAATGTTTATATGTATCCTTGGACATGAGAAAATACCCACCACCTATTGTTTGGCTAAAATTTCAGGTATCAAGAAGTTACATATAAATTAATGACTATTTTTAATATAGAACATAGAAATACATATTTTCTATTTATTAAGAATTTACTAATTTCTGAACACTTAACACATGTACAAGATAGGATTTCAAAAGAATAAAGAGGGCATCTAGTGCACAAACATTCTTCTCGTTTCTGTCTCCCTAACCCCCTCTCTAGAGTCACGTCACTAACACAAAACCAAGCAACATAGTAGCATCATTGGATGAATAAGAGTAATGAGGTATGCAATATTGATTTTTAAAACATGTTCTTTTAAAACATACTGAATAAACAACGTGGTGTCAACCTAAATCACACAAAGAGAGAGAGAGAGAGAATTCAATGGAAAATATCCATAACTGTTCACAAAAGTGTTGGGATGTAGCCGCCCAGCACACTAAAATGCACGTGTTGCACACAAGCCTGTTCACAATAGCACCAGAAACGTACAGTACACGGGATTCCCACCAGCCATGTGGGGATCCTTCAGGATGAATGGCACAACCAAGTGATGGAAGAGATGGCTTGAAAACGTGGAGACACTACTTGCATGTTGGATGTCACGGTGATCACTGTACACAGACGAAGGTGTGTGTGCTCAAGTTCTGGATTAGGAGCAAGTCCCTTGAACAGAAATGGAGAGGAAGGGGAAACAGGAACAGATAGCTTACACTGACACCACAGGTTGACCGGTCCGGAAACAGACCTGGCTGACAGGAGAGAAGTGCTGCAGGGGTTGGCTGGAGGGGCCCCCACACACTGGGTTCTGCATGTCGGCGACCTCATTCACAGCTCTTCTTGGCCAGGACAGGCAGGGGTCGCCTCGATGGACGCGTTCTGCATGGCGTAGTCATCGTCATCCTCCTCGGTGGCCTCCTGTTCCCAAGCTTCACCATCGACCTCCTCGATGACCATGCTGCGCACCGTGCCCGCGTCCAGGCAGTGCGGGGCGACGCCATACACGCGTGGGTCGGACTCCGCGGAGTGGAAGCTCTGCACCCCGCACCTGCTGCAGAAGCTGTGCAGCGCCGGGTGCGTGTTGGACGGGTAGGTGACCATGCTCTCGGCGCCCTGCAGCAGCGTGAAGCGCTCGGCTGGGACGAGGAAGTGGCGGTGCTGCTTCTTCTTGCACAGCCTGCAGCTGCACTCCACCACGTGCAGATCCGCAGGGGCCCAGGCCGCAAAGCGGACAGCGCCGCAGTGGCAGCCCCCCGTGTGGTACACCAGGCCTGGAAACTCGAAGGTGTCCAGCAGGAACTTGGCGGCACCCTCGCAGCTCAGGCCCCGCAGCTTGCGGAACGTCTCCCAGCGCTCGCGCTGCGCGCCCAGGTCCAGCTCACCCGGGGACGTGGCCGGTGCCGCTGGGGTGGGCATGAGCGCCCGCTGGTTCCGCAGCTGCGGCGGGAGCAGCAGATTCTTGGCGCAGGTCTCCCGTACCCGCCGCCACCAGCGCTTGCGCCGCGCCTTTCCGCGCCGCCTCTTGGCCGCCGCCCGCTCCCTGCTGGCCGCCTGGCTCCCGACCCCGACTTGGACAGGTGGGCACCGCGCGCGGCTCGCGCCCATGACCGTGACGGCTGCGCAGGTGGCTGGAGGATCCCCGGGATGCTTCTGCTTCCGCCGCTGAGCGTTGGCTCTTTGCCTTGCTCTGCCCATGGCGCCTGCAGTCTTCTGAGTGGGTGCCCACCGCCCCTCATTTCCCAGGCAGTCTCTGAGCAGCCTCCTTATCTGCACCTGCAGGATTGGCCACTTGTTGAGTGTGATGTCAAGGAGACCCTTCCCTTGACCCTATCAAAACCTCCTTTGCTGGCCTGAAATTCTGGCTGAGCCTATCAGCTACCCATTCTCCTAAATGTTATTTTCTATTGTTTATTTAACTCAGCAACCTAATCTTAAAATATTCAAACACTAGGGATGCTGCAGATCTTATAGTTAGTATTCAGCAGCAGATTTGGTAGCTCAAAATAAGCAGTAGTCACAGAAGAAAAACAAAAGCTTTCATGAGCACGAGTGTGTAGTGTGTGAGTAGTTGTATCAAAGTTGGGGGATAGTAAAGATGACTATGCTCAATGACTATAGTAGTCATCTTTACTAGTACATCAATGGACCCAACCAAAAACTCCATCCATGATAACCTCAATGTAGCCCCAACAGTCACTTTGGTAGAGTGGTTGAGTGCTTGCTCAGTGGTAGAGAGCCGGTTTAGCATGTATGAAACCATGAGTCGGACCTCAAGCACCTGAAAAAGAAAAAAGGAACAATGTGTTTATTTGTCTATTTGTACCCAGAATACATTAAGTTTTCTGGAATGCCTGAATATGAAGCTGAAACTGGTTTTTGGTTGTTGTTTGTAGCTCAACCACTGAGCTACAACCCAGCTCCTCTTAATGTGTTTTATAAAGTTTTCTGTCCCTAACACAGAATCTAATTAAAATTTACACATCAAATTTCATGTTGTCTTTTTAGTTTCTTTAATGTAGAATAACCTCATCAAAAACTGTTTTTTTGTTATTTAGTGTGTTTTAAAATAACATGTTTTAAAAATCGATATTGCATACCTCATTGCTCTTATTTGTCCAATGATGTTACTATGTTGCTTGGTTTTGTGTTAGTGACTGACTCTAGAGATGGGGGTAGGGAGACATCATCTTTCATGTGGTTGTTTTGTTTGTTTGTTTCTTTCTTTCTTTGTTTTGGAAACTGACCATGATTGATCACCATGGCCACTGGAAAGACTCCAAAAAATGAGCATGAATCTTCCTCCTTGAGATATAATCAGAACTGGGAAAACAGTGAGGAGGACTCTTCCAAAAACTTGTTTCCTGAGTTAAGTAGTGATGTCCACACATACAAGTAGAGATTCACAAAACTACCTCCTACCTAGATTCAATAGTTTTTAACTTTTCTGTTCCATTTGCACATATGCATGTATTTTTCCAAAAACATTTTTAAAAATATTCTTTTAGTTGTAGATGGGCTTTAGTTGTAGATGGACACAATATACCCTTATTTTATTTATTTATTTTTATGTGGCGCTGAAGATTGAACCCAGTGCCTCACATGTGCGAAGCAAGCGCTCTGCCACTAAGCCACAACCTCAGTCCTCCAAAAACATTTTAATTAAGATATAGGCATTAGTGACATTTCATCTCTCAATATTTTAGTACTCATATCTTAGGAATAAAGATATAAATTCTTGTAAAGCCATAGGATTATTATCATACCTATGAATCGATAATAATGTCCTAATATCATATCATTTCTGGCATATATTTACATTTTCCAAATAGTTTTCTTTTTTAAATATTTTTTAGTTGTAGATGGACACAATACCTTTATTTTATTTGTTTTTATTTTTATATGGTGCCCAGGATCGAACCCAGTGCCTCATGCATGCTAGGCAAGCATTCTACCACTGAGTCACAATCCCGGCCCCACAAATTGTTTTCTTTTTTTTTAATATTTATTTTTCAGTTTTCGGCGGACACAACATCTTTGTTTGTATGTGGTGCTGAGGATCGAACCCGGGCTGCACGCATGCCAGGTGAGCGCGCTACCGCTTGAGCCACATCCCCAGCCCCAAATTGTTTTCTTAATGTTTTTTTTTTAAATTTTTTTAGTTGTAGATGAACCCGATATATTTATTTTTTTAATGTGGTGCTGAGGATGGAACCCAGTGCCTCACACATGTGAGGCAAGTGCTCAACCACTGAGCTACAACTCCAGCCCCTCTTAATGTGTTTTATAAAATTTTTCTATCCCTAACACAGAATCTAATTAAAATTCACACATCAAATTTCATGTTGTCTTTTTAGTCTCTTTAATCTAGAATAATCTCATCAAAATTTTTCCCATGACATTTGATTTTTTAACAGACCAAATTAAAAATATTTTAATTGATTTTTCTGATTGCTTCCTTGTGTTTCCATTAGATTGTTCTTCTATCTCATACATTTCCTGTACAACAAAAAAGTTAAGTGCAAAGGCTTGATTAGATTCAACTAATACAAATATGATTCACAGATGATGTTCCATACTTCCCATATATTGCATCACATCAGAAGTTCATGATGTCAGGCTATCCCAGGAGTAGTGATCCTAAATTTGCCTCTTCATTAAGGTGCTAATTGCCAGATTTCTTCATTATGAAAATATGGCTTTTCCCTTTGAAATAAAAAAACAAGCTGAGGGGTCATATTTTGATACTGTTTGGCTATCTTTTTTTCCTAGTGGTTTAAAATCTGTTGATAATAGTCAACTGAACCAATTATTTCGTTGTTAGGTTACAAAATGATGATTTCCTACTGCTTAATTTCTTTCTGCTAAGAGCCACAGCCAAGTAATATGATGCATGGCATTTTTGGTTGAAAGGTGATGCCAGCAAGCCATTGAGATGATATGATTTATGTAAGATTTGCATTCATATGGATATTGGACTCCTGCTGTTCACCTTGGCCTGCTACGGGACTCCTGGAGAGTTCCCATTGGTTGGGGAAGTGCGGTAGGAGGGAATTCCGGAGGAGGGAGTTCCAGTTGGGACCCGGGAGAAGCAGTGTGGGTCGGTTGGCAATCTTCCCTGGAGCATATGGGCATTGGCGGCAGTTTCAAAAATAAAGTTTGTTCCTGCTTGAGTGGCTCATGATTTTGTGCCCAGCCAGACTGCGGCATCTTTCTACATTTATTAGCTGGCATTCATTCAAACAGATGAACTTTATGTCAACTGTGGATGGACAACTGTTTTTTTTTTCCTTAAAAGGCAGTGTATATGCTAAATCTCTTGCCTTTATTTATTGGTTTGCAATGTTAAGAGTTGGAGTAATAGACATCTTCAGCTATGAAAAATTATTCTCTTTTTCTGGGTATACTTTTGAACTAATATGTTTTTATTTATTCAATAATTTATAGTTAATTAAGTATTTTTTTTAATTTCAAATTGTTTCAGCTTTGGCCCAGGAGAGCTGGTTCCTGTATCCCTTTGTATATCTCCCATTAATCTTTGAGGACTTGCTTGTTTTCTGGAAGAGTTAGATGCCCTAGGCTCTCCTTGTACTTTTCCTAACCCAGCCTTGGAATCACATTTCTTCAAACAGCTCTGGTTCCTACAACACAGTATTTGGAACCATGCCTGGCCATATCATGACACATTTAAAAAAAAAAAATTTAGGGGCTGAGGTTGTGGCTGAGTGGTAGAGCACTTGCCTAGCATGCGTGATGCACTGGGTTCGATTCTCAGCAACACATACAAATAAATAAAATAAACATCTATCAACAACTAAAATTTTTTTAAAAATTAAATTTTTAGTTGTAGATGGACACAATACCTTTATTTTATTTGTTTTTATTTTTATATGGTGCCCAGGATAGAACCCAGTACCTCATGCATGCTAGGCAAGTGCTCTACCACTGAGCCACAACCCCGACCCTCATGATACATTTTTTAATTATTTATATTTTTCTTGAAATAACTATAGATATACATTAGTTGTAATATACACAGAAATCCCTGTTCTTTTACCCTCTTTCCCCAAATGGTAACATTTTGCAAAATTATAGTAGACAACTAGGATATTTTATTGAAAATATCCACTAACCTTAATCAAATTTCCTCAATTTTACATGTACTCATCTGTGTGTGTGTGTGTGTGCATGTGTGTGTGTGTGTGCGCGCGCGCACGCACATGCACACACAGGTGCATTTGTGTATTTAGTTCTGTTCTTGTTTCTCATATTTTATCATATTGAAATTTTTTATAAATGAAACAAAAGGTAACTGGGATTGGCATTTTTCATCCAGCATAATATTCTGGTTATCATCCAAGTTGTTGAGTGTATTGCTAGTTCATTCTTTATTATTATTATTATTTCATGGTGTCAATGTACTACTGTTTGTTTAAACATTTACCTGTTAAAGTACGTCTAGTATGCTTCCAGTTTTTAGTTGTGACAGACAAATCTACTATGAACCTTTCTGTACAGGTTCCTTTGTTTCATTTTGCTAAGATAAAGAGTTCAATTGCTAGAGCATATAGTAGTTGCATATTTAGTTTTATAAGAAACTGCCAAACCAAACATTTTCCAGATTGGCTATATAATTTTACATTCCCACCAGCATTGTATGAGTGATTCGATGTCTCCATAATCTCCCTAGCATTTGGTATTATCACTAATTTTTATATATTTTCTCCCATTCCTAAGTTGCCTTTTCACATTGTTAAAACTTTCCTTCACTGTACAGCAGTTTTTAGCTTTACTCTATCTTGAGTTGACTTTTGTGTATGATGTGAGGTAAGTATCCAATTTCATCCCACATGTGAATATCCAATTTCCCCAGCACCACTTATTGAAGGGACTCTTTCACCATTGTGTATTCTTAGTACCACTGTTGAAAATCTGTTGAGACTATGTACATAGATGTTTTTTCTGGGCTCTCTGTTCTGTTCAATTGGTCTACATGTTTGTTGTTATGCCAGTGTATACTGTTTTGATTGGTAATATATTATGAGATCAGGAAGTCTGATATCTCCAGTTTTGGTATTTCTCAAGATTGATTTGGCTATTCCTGGTCTTCTGTGGTTTCATATGAATTTTAGGATTTTTTTCTGTTTCTGAAAAAAATATCATTGGAATTTTGACAGGGATTATGCTGAGTCTATAGATTG